ACTCTGTTTTCTTCTTCTTAGTTAACTTCCATGGGCTTTGAAACAGGAGGAAAAAACTCGGCGATGGCCGCGGTTGCTACCTAACACAACACAACTAGCCAGACAAAAACACAGAGAAAGAGAAGAGTTTGAAACAACAAAGAAAAGTTTCATCAGGGTTATGGTTTGTTTTTTAGAAAGTTTAAAGTACGAGGAGGACTCGATATGTCTTAGAAGCTCGAGTTTACGAAGAAGCTAAAGTCATGGTGTTCAACATTGAGCTGTTTCAGCCATGAATCTGCAGATCTCTGAAGATAGCTCAACCGGTCCTGGTCAAATTCTGTCTTTCTCCAAAGATCTCCTTGCAATTTGTAACTAGCTAAACCAAATGGAGGCAATGGGATTCTCTTGTTTATGATTGATTCTTCACAACACTCTGTTTCTTCACTGCCATCGTTGTTGCTAGTATCTCCTTCCACTACGTTATCTGCATCTTTAAGCATCGTTAAAAACAAAACAAAAAAAACCGAGCAATGATTTCAAGTAAAATTTGTGATCATAATAAGTACCTTGGAAAGTTGAAGATAAAGTATGATAAGTTAGGAAGCCTGTGGTCAAATCTTTCTCGTTCTTGCAGGTTGGTATGTGATATATTGGGTACCTAGTTCAACAAATCGTCACTCAGTCACCCAATCTCGAAGCAAAACAACTTATGAAATGCACGAAAAGTTTACCAAACATGAAGGGTTATGTTAACTAATGAAGAATTACTTACCACGCAATAGCCATCCAACTTGCAGGAGACATATCAACACTCCTTAAGGTCATGAGTCCTGGATACTTCTCCGCCAATTCGTTTATCTAAAGAAGAATCAAGAAGAGTACTTTTGTTTCATAACCAAAGTTCGTTAAAACAAAAAGGAGAGTGCATTTACTAAGAAATGAAAAGATTGAAGAGAACCTTATCGGTTAAGGGAACCCGTTTGTATGGAGGATCTCTTTCAATGTATTTAAAGTCAAGGCAACCAAGTCTATCTCGCGGCAATAGAGTACCATCCTGATCAAACACCGAATCTTCAGAGACAACATCCCATGTTTTGCTCGAATCATTGCTCATCGACCTTGACAACAGCTTCTCACTCTCACTATCGCTCCAACACTCGCTACTCTCAGATTCCACCACCTCATTCTGGTTCCTGCAAACACCAAAACTAGTCAGAACAAATACCAAGAAACACTGCGCATCAAACATCTAGAGACATGTCCTAAACACTTCCATTATTAAAACCACCAAGACAAGGACTGCTAAAGAAATCTTGACTCATCACACCARACTAAAATGTCATAGCATCAACTAGAAGTGGGAAAACTGACCTGGAAATCACGGCGGGTTTGTTAGTATGGATTTGAATGGCGGATAGATACGGGACAAAATACTGCATAACGGTTTCGCCATTGTTTAAATCAACCTGCGAACCTAAGCCATACGCGCTCATTTCATCATAATAGTCCCAAAGATCACCAAGCCTGAAATACTCAATCTCCTCCTTTCCCTGTTGCTGCCACAAACAGTTAACATCACTCACACAGCACTACAAACAACACTTACATCAAATGTTTACTTGACGATGTAACCTCATTAACTCCTAACTAAACCCAAATGTAACTCTGAAGTCATTTCAAGCAGCTTAGCAACAACATGATCTTTAATTTTTAGATCAACATTAGTCTTAGCACTCAACATTAGTCTTAGTATTGAGCAATAAATAAATCTCTTAAACCATAATCACAGAATTAAACCATGGTTACTGAATAAGACAGCCCTCTAATAATACAGAACCAGTGGATGGATATACCCAGAGCATCAAGAAGATTCAACCAAAACTCAGTACTTAGCTAATGGATTATTGAATATAATAATATTTTTCAATAAAGCAATTCTGTAGCACGTTTCCACGTGGTGATAAAAATATAATCCACGAGATGATGTGACCATTAAAAATGATAGGTTCCTCAGATGGACCATGCAATTATTGTCTTATTGCCCAAATTCATCTAAAAAATTTACGAGTTCTAGGTTTGTCTAATACATCACCCCATGAATTAAAAAAAAAAAAAAACCTTTAGGAAAAATCTGTTGGTTAGAGACGAGATTTAGGGGGGAAGGAAAACAGATTAAAATATTTAAAAAATTGATTAGTTTAAGACTAATTGAAAGACCCTAATTATCCCCAAATCTCCAAGAGAAACC